AGACGCAGAATAGGCAGTTTCATCGAGACCAACTACTGATAAGAACATCGCTCATATTTTCAACTGGGAACCAGAATTGGCAGAATCCGTACAGGAGCAGTGACCTGAAGCGGAGCGTCTTATCAAAACCGTGCCTTACTCCTCAAACTCTACCCCTTGCTTAATATTTATATAGTAGAATAAGTATTTGATAATTAGTCTTAGGAAGAACGTTAAAGAATCAAGTCGAAATAAAAAATCTTATTATACAGATAGACCGAAAGTAAAACTCGTTCAATTTATTATTTATAAATCCTAATGCTCTACAAGAGACAACAGTGAAAATATCCCACAATCCTCTGTTTTGATTCATTATTACTAATTGATATGTTCAAAGCGTAAATATCTAATTAATTTCATATTTATATACTAAGGATTAATGTAAATATCAGTGTTGTAAAACATGTGTGAAATTTACAGCATAAAGATATTATTTATTAAAAATGGCAAACATATTGTATTATACATGTACATGAAAACATAAAGAACTGATTTAATGGGGTGTTGTCGTCCGTTCCAATTCATGTATTATTTTATATTATTACTTGTTTATACTTGTAAATATATATATATATTTTGCTTTGTTTTTTTCATCTTATTTAAGTAGTGTTTAAAATAAAATTACAAATTATTTCCGTCGATATTTACTTCATTATATATTTTAACAACTTTGAACAGTAAATCCTTCTAGTATTTAATGATGAAAATAGAAATAAGTACTGAAGCTCAATTATGAAAAGCTAAATGCTCCTCATTTACAATCACAGATGGTTATGTGGAAACTGATTATATTAGGGTTGAAATAATAAAATGTAATTAAATATTATATAAGAGATTGTAAAATATTTTTTGATCACTCCTATAAATAATAAGAATGCAATTAAGTTGTGGTTTCTTAATTAATTTTAATTGTACTGCAAAGTAATCTATATACCCTTTCAAATGATATAACATTTGATCTTGGTTGAAGTCTTTGAATCCTTTTTCCGAATGTATTTTACTAACTTTTTTTTTTAGATTCGTTCGAGGTCCTTTGTTGGACGAAAGGGCAAGTCAAAAGGGTTACCCACCTGCAGTTTTGAAGTCCGTGTGGAAGCCATCTACTGTGACGCGAGCGTCCCGTCCGGTGCGCCTAAAGGTCACCTCGTGCCATGACCCGTCATCGATCCGACGCATAGAACCTCTCTGCTTTGATGGGCCTGCACCCAGGTCCAGGTGCACGTAGATGTGACCATTGTATACTTCGATGGCGAAGAGGTCGGCCTGTGGTAAAGCGGCGGGGTCAAAGTGAGAAATGCAGTGGCGTAATTACCGCAAAGGTTCCGCAATGCGGATTGAAAGGATGTTTCTATTCAAAATTCACCATACTTTACGCTTTTATTATTCAATATTTCGTATGGTATTTATGTTTTATTTATATATAATTAAATAAAAAGGAAATTTTATTATAAAGTCAAGTATACATTGTATGATGGACATGTGTATAAATACTTTAATTGTCTTTTTTATTATTTGATGTATATAAGAACTATTTGTAAATGGATATTTCAAATACTGACATTCGTCAATGCATATTTTTAGCAAAAACAATTGAAATAATAAAGTTTTACGTTTATAAACTGTGAAATATAATTGGAAGTTGAAAGCTACAACTAATACGGAGTTGACAAACATGTAGCAAATAATTATATGATAAATTTCCGTCCATTATTAGTATCAACACAGTTTTAAGGAAAAACATTATAATATACGTATTTTTCAATAATTCTCTGAATTACAAGTGGAGCAAACGCATTTGTAGTTTGTAAAAATGTAGTTATCCACTAAAAACTAAATATATGATTATAAGAATAGTGAACTCACCCTTGGTGGTCGTACGCCCCCATTGAAAAGCAGAAGACCGTTCGGTTCGTTTGTGCGAAACTTGAAGGAAATATTTCCGGACTTCTTGGCATTCCACGGAGGCAAGATCTGAGAATGTCAGGACACACACAATGTTGAAAGTTGATAGGAAGTCTTGAGGATGCACATGGATACATAATAATAAGTAATCCTTTGTCGCTCAGATGCGATTGAAGAATTTTATTTTATGAAATTCGAAGGATCCGTCGTTTGAAGTCCGCGGATCACATGAAAATGTTGGATTATCATCGAAGCCTGGGTCTCATAAATAATTCATTGTCGGAGGAAGGACCGCGCCCGCCCTCTTCGTTGGGAATGCGGAATGTTGCGAAGAAAAAAAGGACACCTCCATTTAAAACTCGAGATGAGTTTATATCAGGAACCTTTATATAAATTGTATCCAATTTGGGATTTGGCGCTCTAAACTATTTAATAATTGCATATTTTCTTACATTTGTTGCTGATGGCCTTAAATGGAAACTGGGATATTTATGAATAATTAAGATAATTTCATAGCAATATTTCATAAATTCAATACGATTGTCATTATCCACAATCGATTTGACAAAACAAACCTCCCATGTACGTGAAAAACAACATTAACTTCAATTCGTAATTTTATCGAGTTTCAGTAAAAACAAATAAAACAATGAAACAGCAATCAATAGCCATTAGACATATTGATATTAAATATTATTGATATTCTATAAAAAAAAAAGATATTTAGCTGAATGCGACTTTGTAGAAACGAAATAATATTGTACATGCAATTAGATGAATCGCTTACCAAATGTGATTCTCTGGTGGTGAATGTGATAGGATCATGGGTTTCTCCTGCAGGACATTTGTACTCCAAACGACCAGCTACGGAGATCAAGTGGTTGCCAGATCTGCCTAACTCCAAAAGGTTCAGCCTGAGCGTGTCGGCAACGAACTCCACCTTTGGACAAGATCAATATGAATGGTATTAAGAAGAAAAAAAACTGAAATCAAAAGATTTCAAAGACAAACCTTCCTCATGCAGCCAACGAAGTTGTTATGGACCCTCGATCCTGGCAAAGCTCTAGTGTTGATACTTCCTCCCACGTACAACCGACTCGACGAGAGCATCGTGAACTTTCCGGCGATATGTGAGTGGTCAGCATATACTCCGTCCACAACTGCTGAAAGCTAATAAGGAATACACCAGATTAGAACAAATAATGTAACCGTTTTGTATATTTCACTTCAACTAGAAAACACGTATATAAATCCAACACAAAGTCATTGAAATAAATTGTTATATTAAACCTATGTGCACTTATTATACTTTAAAAGATCCTCTCACAGCTGCCTCAAATTGAATGGAAATCACTTAATAATAAATTAATAGTTTTTAAAATTATAATGCATCCATCAAATTATGAATTAAAAGATTATCTGCAAGAGTTTTACAATTTCTTTGTTATGTAATAATCAAATTCGATGCTTACATATTATAATGCAATAAAAGAACTTCCGTAATTTAAATATATTCTAGATTATGCGTAATCAATTCACAATGATAGATACATTTTGGAGTAGTTAGAACAGATCTAGTCCACTACTTTCAAAGTAACGAAACTTTGTTTAGCTTCTAGCTAGGGCATTGGACTTTTCGCGTTCGATAATTCAGTCGGGTCTCTTAATAATCAATTAGAAGCTTTTAAGCTGAATCAAATATTAAACCTGATACGGTTGGGCATCTGGGCGGGTTTTGCCCATCCTCAGAATTCCAGTCTAGTAATTCCCTATATACGGAACGAATCATGATTTATAACGCTATTCATGGTGTCGTTGCACCTAATGCATTTGTAATTGATTCATTTGTTGTTATTGTTATGTAAATATTTATTAGCAAGTACAGTTACTATATTCCGTAATCATTGATTTTACATTAGTTTGAGATTAGTATTTTAATTAACTTTAATCATATTTTTTCGAGAACTCTTTAGTAATTGATTCTAGTTCTAATTTTTAAGAAAAACTTATCATCTGTTCTAAATTAGAATCTATGTTGATATATGTATGTTATCTACTATATATGTCTACACTATATGTTATATACTAATTAAAGTTGTATTTATACCCATTTCTCGCATGTAGATGTACATGTATGTGCATACACATACCCTATGCACATATTTCTTTGTTTGATATCGCTACTAGTCAGCCTCATAGCAAACAGAAAAACCTCACCGTAAGCCGCTTACACAGAACAAACAACGCACATACATGTACACACATTTGAACACAGCATGGTTAGAATGGGCAATTGTTAGGAAATTTCAAACAAAGTACGTCGCCAATGCTTTTGTCTTTCCCACGAGAATCATCAAACGTACCAAAGATATCAACAACAAAAGAGTTTGGATCAGTATTTACCGAGAGTATTTAGTAAAACAAATACCAAGCTAAAAACGTATAGCAGATGAATGGATGTTTCTTTTTAGCAGTGATTACTGCTCAAGCTTTATCTCTTGAGTATGCATTTCAATCAGGTTTATGGTATATTTCTTAGGCAACAGGCCTACCTTTTAACAGCATTTGATTGAAATATTTTTTCACACATTTATTAGTAAGAATTACTTATTTTATTTTTTTTTACTACAATAAAGTTATATAAGAGGTATAATATGAGATATAAGTATTGTCTTCCGTTGCAACTAATATTGGTTATCATGTTGCCCGATGAAAGTATAATTGCAATTTGAGAATGTGCAGCGATCGATATCATGCGCTACTTGCAGGGAGGCAAAAAAAGGCCATAACAAAAATTCTCTACCCAAACCGTGTAATGCTTAAATTAATACCTTATTGAAATGCTTTAATAAATATTATATACAAAAATTATAATATAACAGGTTTCTAGTTCGTTCACCTAATATATATGTTTTGGTATAAGACTATGACATGGGTGTCACGGCAAGACATGCCCACTGGTATAAGTCATTATTGGATAAAATCTATACATTTTCCGGTAAATGTACATTGTGTATACATTCAATTCACATTTTCCAGTGGAAATTAAGAAAATGTACATTGTACTCTCATTGAACTATGTTGTTGGCGAATGTGCGAACTCGTCCATAAATGAGATATGAATGTATCATGAGATTTACAACGTTTTTTTTGGAAGATAGTAATGTTATAAAGTGTCATTTATTGTAGTTATTATGAAAGTTATTAAATTCTCTCTTAAAAATGGAATAATTATTTATTTACATTTATAAAGTAATATAATAAAATAAATGTTAATTATTGTACTCTTACTATTTTCATAGGTCTAAGCACATTCGTTATCCTCCTTTAATTTCAAATTCTCCAAAGCAGTGAAGTTAATGTGTACATTTTCCGGATAATGTGAATACAGTATATATTTCAATACTTTAAAGCTAGTTTTACATCAGTTGTGTACAAATTTATACATTTACCTTAAAATGTATACATCATCCTACTATGTACTAAAACATATATATAGTTTGCACAGCACATTTGCTAAATACTAATCAAATGTGACTTTATCTCTATAACAAAATCAATGAAAAACTACAATCGCAGTATTTTCGAATAAGCATCAATTTGTAAATAATAGGCGAACATGTACATCTACTGTTATAAATTTCCATTGGAACCATAATCCCAAGAAGAAATATACATTTGTTCGGCACTCAATATAACCTCGTTAATAAACAACGGCAGTATTTATTTATTAGTATGAGTTTCATATTTTTTTTATTTCTGAACTGATCGAGTATTTGCATATTGACAGGATCACTATCGATGTGTTATTACTCGTAGTTATCTATTTCGTTCGGTGCGTCTGACTATAATGCATGTAAATATAATATGCATAGGCCATATTGGAGCGGTGTTTCGGATTTTATGGTGCTTGCATGTCGTTAATCCCGACGAAATTGAACAGCACCACTATTAGCAGTGCGCATCCGAGCCATTGCATCGCGAATAATCGTGGATGATATACCCATTTGTAATATAGTTAAGACTTTGCGATGCAGATGGTATTGCACTTAGATTCGAATTCGATATACAATGGTGTACACAGCCAATCTATCCTGTTGCATATTATATACAATCTCTGGCAAAATAGTGCAGTGTTTCCCAACCATGTGCGTCGCAAAAGACCTGGTTAGTAGTGCCGTAACGTGGAAAAATTAGGGCACTGAAATAATTCTCAGCGCCAGTTTGGACGACTATCTACTTTAAGCAATATTCGAATAATGGTCGTATAAAGTTGGCAGACGTTCGAAATTAGTGTAATAAAAAGTCATGACAAGAAGTGGTCATTTCCATTGATTATGAGGATTATTTGCCAAATGTTTGTACATAAATTTCCTTATTCTTATACTTATATAATGATGTAATGTAATGTAATAGCAGTAAAAACATACTAAATAAGTTTGTAAAAATAAGTGATAAAAGATTACTAGTATAAAATATATAGTTTAATTCTTACCCTACAGAAACTGGTGATGGCGGAAATCTAAAAGAAATGTAACTTTAGTAAATAAGAAATTTAGTATATGGCAATTTGTTAATTACTTCTTGTATTCGACGATGAACGCTGACTTTGTGCCATTGGTTATCATCGAATCGGACCTTGTTGGGTTTAATCTGCATTTCCTGCTTTCCGTTGGCTAGGCCCATTGTTAAACTTAAGCCACCGTCTTTCATGGCTACATTTAGATAATCCGTTCCTTCCCCTGAAATTAGAGCAATGTAAGTAATGACGGGCGGAGTACGATATAAAACACTTCGAGCTGAATGAGAGATAGTGATCAAAGAAAAAGTTTTAAAAAAAAGTGGAGCCGCTTCTGAAGGGCTGAAGAAGAAAATTAGTCTCACAAGCGGAACGTAACGAGCCAAACAAACTTTGTTAGGCAGCTCGACTCGCACATTCCCGAAAGGCGTAAGTACGTTTTTGTCGACGATTGGAGTATAAAAAGAAAATCCTGACGATAGGAAAGTGTATTAAAGTCTGATAATATAAAACAAATTTGTTGATTGAATGCGCTACTTCTCGCACGTCGGAAAAAGTAAGAAAGTTGCTCAACAAAATATTTACTTGATTAGGAAATAATCTAAATGAATACGTGTTATTTTCATAGTTGTATGTGCATGATGAGAGGCATCATTGTTATAATTACACACGATATAGAGATAATTATATTTGTAATATTTTTAATTACATTGATATAATTACTATTCAATTTGAATGTCTCTTTCGGATTGATATAGCTTGAAATTACAACTCCGTTCATTTAGTTTTGTTATTGATTACGGAACTTCCTTTCGAGGCTTTCTTATTTGTGAGGAAAGACAAGCAAAAATATCTGGTGTACTATGTTTCTTTTTCTTCGTGCTTGTTTTCGACGTGGATGCAACGAACGCAAATGGAGCAAAACAATGCCAGATAAGGGCGCATTTTCAGATGCACAACTGAAATTACTTTCAAGACAAATACACCGAGTCGCTCTGTTTATTCCGTTTCTGCTTCAAATCTCCCTACACAAACCCCTACCAACCTTTTTCCTACGATTGTTTGTGTATAGAAACGAGAGCATGTCACAGAAAGAGAGAGAGAAATGGAGAAGACGAGTCAAAAACTTTAAATAATTTATCGTAAAAGAGCAGATTAAATATCCATTACGCGATGGTACAGGAAAATGTGCTCCAGCTTGCTTGGGGCTATAAAAGTACAACAAAACGGGAAAGGAAGAACGAGGAGATGAAGAAAAAAATGATCGGGATGAAAGGAAAAAATGCTATAGATCGTAGTAAGAATGAAGCGGGTTGGAATTGAATGAGGAAAGGGCATTGAATATGTACAGGGTCATTGATTATTAATGGACCCGAGAATTATTTCCCTCCTCTCAGAAAACGGATCATTTCAAAAGCTCATTTACATTATTGCTGCCGTTTGTTTGATTAATGGGATAATGTAACAGAAACGACGACGCTCATTAGCGTTTGTGTTTGCAGTCTGCATCTTCAGTATATACTTGCATTCGGAGTATTTATCTAACCATGTAACAAATATATTATGCACTTCCAGTTTAATTTTGTCTTCTCTACGTATAATCAAAAACATTTAGCTCATTACCAGCTAAATTAAACAAATTAAGTGCTATGTAAATTTATACTAATACAACATGTTTTTTAATGTTAATATGCTTGAAATATTATAATTCTGATATGAAGAATTGATGAGATTTCTGTAAAAATATACTATTGAATATTTTCAATAAAAAATGAATGTATTTTAGCATTGCATTTAACGAATAAGTAAGAAAGTATGGAATATATATTTATCATTATTGCAAAATAAAATACTACAAAGTCTGTAATTCAAATTGAAACAGTTTATAATTCCAGATTTATTAGTATTTAGATATTTCAAGGAGATACAAATTGATTATATGATTATAGAATGAATACTTACAAGTGTTGCGTAAATTTCAATCTAATCCTTGAGTGGAAGAAATAATTGATAGAAAACTTTAAATGTATTGTATGAAACATAATAAATAGGAATGCATATTAAGAATTGAATAACGGCGTTGATTCAAAGTTCAACAATTGTTATTCTTATTTTTTTCTTCTTTAAAACCCCTGGTTTTGTATGAAAGCCTATAAATTGATGTGTATTACATCGTTTTATATTTTTTAGGGGCAAGCGCGCGTGCGGTTAGTGGGAAATTCGTGAAAAATCGTTGCGGGAAAAATCTGTTAGCGGAGTAGAAACGGTCCTTTCGTTCGCTCACCTGTGTAGAAAAGTAATCCGCTCGGCTGTCGACTTTTGAAGTAAAAACTGACCGAATCCTGAGCGCTAACGATTGGCTCTCCTCCAGTGTGGCTCAGATCGTAGGATAAAAACTCGGTGCCACGGAAGACGGCTTCTGAAGGCGCCTTATCTGTAAAAGGAAACGAAAACCAAGTCAAAAATCAAGAGTATTACAAGTATAACGAAATGGCACAATTTCGTTGATATATAGTGTGCGAAACGTGGAAATTTATTGAAAATCTTCATCACTGGCATTCTGCCAATTTAGTTTAATAATTGATTGGAAACGTAACATTTTTTTGTTATTTCAATTTGATTCAAAAGGTTTTAAATCTTTTTCTACGCTGTTTGTAATGTTTCAGTTTGCATATTTTTAATTTAGTATACTTGGAGATATTTCAGTCTCATACTATATATATCGGGTGAATGTGAATATAGAATAGTTCGTTTAGAAATAGCAACTAATAATGTTTTACTTTTAGATACGTGCGGATGGCATTCATGGCATTCTTCAATTGATGTGTTCTGGCAGAATGTTGATTGAAACGAGTGCGGTCGCGTAAATGAAATTCTCGGTTGCAGACTAGGTTTAGATCGATTGAAAATTTTGTTGTCTGCTTTGTGATGCTAACGCGATAAATAGTCACTTGTTTGTTAGGGTGTTTTTGTGGGTTGCAGGTAGGAGGAGGCTGCTAATGAAGTCGAATTAGTCGACGTGTCGATCACGTTTTCGGCAAAAGCAGACAGAACATGGTAAATTTTAATTATGTTTATCTGATTGGCTACTAACCCGTTCGGATATTACACTGTTGTTTATATGATGCATCATCGGCCATATTGTCATTTGCTATCACTTACAAGCATCCATGCATCCATCCCACATTACTTAATGGCCTGCACACTTTCACAATGATTTATTATCTCTGGTACACTCGCTCACTCAATCAGCCCCGACCCAGTCTACTATCTAATTGCAATCAGCAAATTAATTAATCCATCCGAATACCAATTACATCCGCAGTATACATGATATTGTTTTTATGAAAGACATGATTCTTTACATGAAAAAAAAAAACTCCAGAAAATTAACAGAAAAATTTAATGTTTTTATTAAATAATTTACTTTAATTTTCCTTTAAAAAAAAAGTAGATTATGTTCAGGTAGATTAGGACACAAAATGTGTGTTGATATTTCTTGATAATGTTATATTTAGTAAATTAATTATAAATAAGATAGCAGATATTAATACCCAGTCTACTATCTAATTGCAATCAGCAAATTAATTAATCCATCCGAATACCAATTACATCCGCAGTATACATGATATTGTTTTTATGAAAGACATGATTCTTTACATGAAAAAAAAAAACTCCAGAAAATTAACAGAAAAATTTAATGTTTTTATTAAATAATTTACTTTAATTTTCCTTTAAAAAAAAAGTAGATTATGTTCAGGTAGATTAGGACACAAAATGTGTGTTGATATTTCTTGATAATGTTATATTTAGTAAATAATTATAAATAAGATAGCAGATATTAATACTGCTTAAAATCACATTTGTCGCAAGAACATTCTCGACAATCAAAAATATACAGTGGAACCTCGCTTAACGAGTTTAATCTATTCTAAAATTTTCATATTTTTGTTCGACACTCGTTATGCGAAACATCGCTCGTTAAGCGAGTCATTTTTTTTTACAATTAATTTTGTTTGTTAAGGGAAATGCTCGTTAAGCGAGGTTCCACTGTATAGGGTAGAAACACCTATGGTCAATAGCAATTTGACGCAGTTGATCATTCATTCACTAATATTAATTCGGCAAATATGATTAGTTGGCCATCTTGTGGCAAACCCGAGTGATTAATTAATTAATCACTGAACGACTTCAGCCCTTTGGTCATAATTGTGGTAATTAAATGTGTTAAATAATTAGTTAGCTAATTTACTAATTAATTAACGCAGAATGCCAAAATCGGCGCTTGGTTCATGTGTATGCCAGATAATATTTGCTGGACCTATTGAACTATATTTACCGACGTTCAGTACCAGTCTGAAGATGATGCAGTTCCATCAGGGTTGACGGAATTGATCTCATGTAATATTTCTTATGGATGAAGGATGAATATTGAATACAATTTACAACACATGTCTGAAGTTTAGTAGCTTATAGTTTGGCGTTGCATGTTTGGGTAATTAAATATCCCGTGCAAGTTTTGTCGTAGTTCTCCAGTTTGTGCGGTTTCCGAATACAGTACTAGGAAGAAGCAAATTTTAGAACGTTATAGTTTATGTTATTTCTCCATACAATACAAAAATAATTAGAAAACGTTTCCAATTAAATGTTATTTACTATATTATTAATTTATATCCCATAGAGTAATTTAAATTAGTTCTCCGATTGAAGTTTAAATAATTATAATTAAATGTAATTATGTGCAGGCGTAACTGAATTCACTCTAATTTCCGTTCGACGTGGATTTATTTTACGCGAATAAAAATCATGTAAATAAAGTCTATTAGTACTAAAACAGTTGGATATATTCAATCTAATAACACTATTTATCCAATATCGCTGAAAAATACTGTCCAATTATTGTTATTAAATATATTAATTAAAAGAGCTTTACATCACTAATATTTATTTCAATGTAAATATGATAAAACGACACTTGCTAATTGGACAACTGCATCAATCAATTAAATTATAAATATAGCAACAACAAAAATCGCTTATAAAACGTTGAAGGTAGTATAAGGGCGTTTAGTATGTATTATCGACATGTTACAAAATATAATTTGTGTGTAAATTGTTGCGAGTTGTGATCGGGGCGGTGTTTGTGCTAAAAGAGCGGTGCAGGGACGAGTCGGCCTGTGGGCGGAGGCGTTACGTAATTAATGGATTATTGCCATTGAATACACAGCGAGGACGACGAAAAAAAAAAATAAAAAAACGAACATCCAATAAACCAGCGGCAAACAAAACCATCAATTTGAAGCCGCATGAATTAAACAATTGGATTATATTTAAAATATATTAAATAATAATTTCCATAATATTTTTTAGGATTTTTAAATGGTTTTTCTGAAACTAATTTAAAGATGTTGCTTCAAATTTCAGTGCACTTCCGGTTGAAATTTAAATTTTAAATAGAAAAAAAAAGCAATTTAAATTGGTTAGTTAAAATTTGATTTAATTTTATTTACAAAATTCCTTTACAATTTTTTTTTCAATTATAAAATTGAAAATATAAAAGAAATAAAAATTAATTATTGACTAGTTCAACACATGCACTTTGTAATGTTTCTTCAGTCATGTTTCCAGTAATATCATTTTTAATCACGTTAATTTCAGTTTGTTCTAATGCTAGTTGCGCTAGACTTGTGCTTGCCCTTTCTTCTTCAAATTTTCTCTTTTTAGTCGGTGGTTGATTAGTGGTGATTGAGGCTCTATTTTTATTGATGATTAAGCGTTCCCACGAAATGCGGCCTTGATGGTTTTGTTTATTATGTATTTGTTTATTTTAAAAAAGAAATCGGAGTAATCAAATGGACTTTGTGGATGTCTCCTACACATTGTCGAAAAATTATTATCTTTTTCGAATGATTATATAAATAAACCAAAACACTAGCCCCGACACAACCATCGAAGACCATACATGAAAGAAAGCGATTACGAATTAATATAATGAATTTTTTTTTAAACCGAAATTAACGGTAATTAAAATTTCGTTCCTGTTACAGTTACGGTTCAGTTAAAAAAATCCGGTAAATTTCGGTTTACGGTTCCGGTTCGACTCTCTGATTTTTATATTTAATTTGTATTTCAAATTACGTAAAGGAGTATAACAAAATATGTTGTTATAATAATGAGCATGTAAATGAGCAAAATCGCTTCGTTTTCCCGACTAGACAATAGACAGCTTGTGTTAAGGGTTAATTGTATAGAGGAAGGCCAGAAGAGCGGCTTTTACGTTATATAATTAAGTTTTGATATACACATTGATTTATGTTGTATAATTGCATATAATAATAAGTTTTGATAACTATTGAACTCTCTAGCCAGTTCTCGTTCACTCAAGTACTTAATCTGAATGGTCCGCTATTTCTGGAAACACAAAGCATGAAGTTTCCAGTATGAATACATAGGGGTTAAATTTGCACCATCGGTTAATTGGCCGTACTTTCGTTTATGTCTCTTAACAAAGTCGAGAAATTAAAATTGAACGGATCTTTTCCATTATTGATTTCTGCGAAATTATGAAAGAGACTCAGGAACTCACGATTTTAAATTGTATTCCGTACATTTGAAATGAAAATTAATTAAAATAAATCCTATTTACTTCCATCCGCGTCTCTCAACACAGCCGTAATGCGTGCGTTTTTCATTTCATTTCGTTTCTTTTGTTTTAATTTATGAGCTTTCGTTTCGCACGAGCTCTAATTAAAATGTATTTTTGCTGAAACTGAATCTTGTTAAGTTCAATTTCGTGTACGAATTTAATGCCCGCGCATTTAATGCTATTAAGCAAGTTTCGTTGAATGAAATTTGTTGTACGGTGTTTTTTTTTTAATTATTTCTGTTTCCTAGTTCTATTAAATGTTACGTTTTTTTGTTTTCAATGAGTTTATGCCAAGTTTATGTTTTAATGAATTAATTAATCCCCAAAAAGGACCCACGAATGCAAGGCAAACTACGACTGTTACTGTGGTAAAAAGGGAGCAATTGAGTCCACGTCGTTAGTAGGGATTCGAGTCAGTCGCCTAGAAGATTTTAACAAACAATGGAATCGAATAATTATAGGAGCTAAGATGTATGCGTCTGTATATGAATGAATGTATTTCGTGTAATAGTGTGCATGCTTCAATGCGCAGAGCATTGTAATGCTGACTTGGAAATCTCATTACCGAAGCCAATTATGGGGAATTTCTCTGGAAATTGTCGGGCAAAACGGAACTTGCATCGTCAATGATACGAAACGCCGATTTTGGAGGAGGTTGGCGTTATTAGACATTGAAAATGCTTGGAATCTATGACCATTCGCATAGTTTTCACTTCTATCGAATCTTAAACAAACTATTTAACTGACAATATCACAATTTTTAAATTACAATACCTTACACATTCTATGCTATTAAAATGAATTTTATAATAGAATTTTACCCAATTTAGTATTATTAGAGTAAATATACTGATATGGAATTGATCATATAGAGTAGAAAGGATGAAAGCTGGAGGATTTATGCAGGCAAGTGGATTATTTCTCAATATTCACTTCAGAAGAGGCAGGCGCATTACACACGTGCCTTCATTCTATACGAAATCCCAATATCGAAGCGCGCATTTAAGAGAGGGTATTTGGACTCAACTTTTCTTCTTTTCTAGTTCGTTGCCTGCCTACCTTTTTCGAGAGACAAAAAGCCATTTGGATTAGCCCATAAAAGGGTTGCATTACATGTTAAATCTCTAATATCAGAGAAGCTATGCTCGTGAAACATTAATACTTCAAATAATCTGATACATATTATAAGAAAATCTCACCGAATCCATTGAACCATTTGCTAAATGCGTGGATGCGCCGGGTTTAAATGAAGTTGTGTAATAAATATTAGTCTCAATTGTCCTAACACTAACAATAAGAGATGATTGCGGAGATTCTATCGAATCTTAAACAAACTATTTAATTGACAATATCACAATTTTTAAATTACAATACCTTACACATTCTATGCTATTAAAATGAATTTTATAATAGAATTTTACCCAATTTTGTATTATTAGAGTAACTATACTGATATGAAATTGATCATATAGAGTAGAAAGGACGAAAGCTGGAGGATTTATGCAGGTAAGTGGATTATTTCTCAATATTCACTTCAGAAAAGGCAGGCGCATTACACACGTGCCTTCATTCTATCGAAGCGCGCATTTAAGAGAGGGTATTTGGACTCAACTTTTCTTCTTTTCTATTTCGTTGCCTGCCTACCTTTTTCGAGAGTACAAAAAGCCATTTGGATTAGCCCATAAAAGGGTTGCATTACATGTTAAATCTCTAATACCAGAGAAGCTATGCTCGTGAAACATCAATACTTCAAATAATCTGATACATATCATAAGAAAATCTCACCGAATTCATTGAACCATTTGCTAAATATGTGGATGCGTCGGGTTTAAATGAAGTTGCGTAATAAATATTAGTCTAAATTGTCCCAACACTAACAATAAGAGATGGTTGCGGAGGAGGTAAAAATGTAATAAGGCAGCAGCAACGTGCATTATATTAATTCATACAAACTGGGGAGAAGGTTTTTCCTCATTTTCTTATCCCTGGCGTGTGAATAATGGAGGGTGTGATATAAACGCGCAGGAAAATGGGCGAAGTTTTCAAGTTTTTACACGACGACACACGTACATTCTGAGGGCGTAGTTCTTCGCCGGAGAAAATATCAACAAAATACGGTTTCGTCGTAGGTGGCGTTTGCTAAACTTTTCCACCCTAGAGTTAGGTAGGTTTTGGCCCTCGAATTTCGTTATATTTATCGCTTGAAAAACTTTTCATCGAAATCAATTTCATATGCGAATTTATATGCAAGGTAGCGAAATAAAATTTGATATATTTTTCTTTTTTTTTTTCTTCTTGCGCGTCTCCAATTCAGAATAAATTTGGTCCAATTTCATTTGTATCATATATGTAATGACAGCTGCCAGTAGCATATGCATATTGTCAGTTTTATTCACATTTAATAATTTGTTATGTGTAATTGGTTAATTATAATTACTTCGAGTGAATCAATATGTTCATTGGAAATTTTGAAATCAAAACTGTCATTAATTAAATAATGCAGTTATTATTTATTATCACTCATTTTTATTAAACTGTATTCACATATACGAAAAATCTGATATTACATCAAGTAGGATCTGTAGAGAAATAATTTACAAATATAACAAAACAAGTATGTAAATACTGTAGCCAGGGGCGATATAAAATGAAAAAAATTATCCATTGTGTTCCTTTGTATAAATATTATATTTTTTGAATAAAGTAATTTTAATGTTTGTCTATTTTTGTTTGCTCGTTCGTTACGATGCGATTGTATATATGCATATAATTTTTATGACCATATTTCTTTGTTTGAATGATGGACCATCAATTAATTCATCAATGGTCAACGTGATTTGGTGTATTTTTCGCATCATTGAATGTTCCTTGATTACTTTTGTTTCTGCCACCGGAACAGAATTGAAAGGAAGGATGGAATAATTTGTAAAATGGCTTACATGTACCTACATTTTATTAATCCTGTAACATGTAGAACAAATTCGCGAAACCGAAAAAGTTGTGTGAAATTAGAACAATTGTGTTGTCCTATCACTAAATATGAATGCGTTTGCGAATATCTGAACAAATGAAAACAGCGTGAGAAAAAGAAGAATCTCAGTAAGTTATAAAAAGTAATTAGTTGCTCGTAATACAAATCTTAAATGTTAAGCAACAATCACTGCGGATTTGTTGGTAATTTTCGAAAGTATGTTCTCATACAAAGGCAAAGTATAAAAGGAACGTAGAGAGAAGAGATATATTTTGCGTTTTACCTTTTTCGCAATATTCGCCCTCGTAATCCGGGTTGCGACATTCGCAAATTGGGCCGCTGTCTGTTGATATGCAAATCCCGCCGTGTTGGCACGGGTCACGGACCTCGCATGCATCACTGCTGTTCCCTCGAAGAACCTGCAAGAAGATGAGAAAATGTAAGAAAAACGATCACGATGATGGCAAAAGGTGAAACAAAGGTATTTCAACGCTCCCCTGAAATGATGAGAAAACGTCGCGCACGATTTGCGGGCGAAGTTTCAGGGGATGCAACACCGCGTTGACATAACGGCGAGGAATTGATCCACGGTTCACTGCACGCTTGTTACCATTGCATAATTTATATTTGGTTTACTTACCGAACTTGCATATTATCATTTTGAATCTATTTTAAACTGTAATTACTGTAATTTCATAATGCTACTATTGTAATTATTTTTTTGCTAAGCATTTACCTCCAAATATCATAACATACTTTTTTTGGTGTTTTAAGTGACAATATTATACAAAATACGTATACATTAATTTATATTGTTCAGTATAAATTATCAAGGAAATTGCTAGATTAATCATTATTTAATCCAATAGTTACTTAATTATCATTAGGTATAGACAATACATTTTAGATCATTTATAGAATGTGACCCAAGATATCAACATTCCGGTAAGTCTGCACCTTATTTCATGCAGCTTGGTACTTATTACAGTTTGAGTAATGTCGTATCAATTAAAACCGACTTTAGAACTTTGAATAAATTAGGCGAATAATTCATTTTCAGTTTTTTGATAATTCATAGAAAATCTAATATCATACAATAATAAAATGATCAAATAATCGGTTATAACTTCGTTCTTCTTGCTCTTAAGTTATCTAGAGTTGATATAAATTATTATACACATTGCTATTAACACATAAAAGGGCGCAGCAAGGAAATCTTGCGCCTGTGGCAAAATATCTAATTTGCGCCCCTACGATTAATGCGCCTGTCGTTCCCGTCGCACCACCATTGTTGTTACGCTAAATACATATACAAAATCAGATTGAATATTGAATAATTCATTTGAACGCATGTCATTGCACTTGAAAATCAATTTTAATTACTGAACGTAAACCGTAAATTGGCGGCAAATTTAAACGATGCGAGCAAATCGGAATAGGACTTCCAATCTACACATATCGTTATAACCCAATTCACATTAAGATGTTCTTTGCTTTTTTCTACGTGTGAATTGGGTTGATTTGTATAATTAATATACATAGTTGAAATTGGGTAAAAACATTTTTGTTTCAGATTACATCGGAATAATTTAAGCTTCCGTCATTTCTTTTTTCAATTAACATTAATTCCACTCGGAAACAAAAGATCCAAATTTTCATATTTGTTTCCTTTTGTTTGCAGATAATTGCAATTAATTGTTCATGATTTCTGTAATTATGCCCGAACGTCTTAACAGATATCTGTTAAGATTTAAAACATAATAAATTAAAGTTGATTTTTATATGATAAAATTTAAAGTTAGAAATAGCATTTAGGAAAATTTGTATTATTATATATTATATTATTTGTATTAAAAAATATTAATCAGCGCCACCTGGATTTTTTTTAAATCTGTTATTAAACATTTTTATATAAAAAACAATAGAAATATCCAAATTACATTAGTAATAGTTGCAAATGATTAATAATAATTATTGATTTAATTGGTATCATTGTTCGTAGAATTCTATATGAAAATAGTTACAAATAAATGTTATGTTTCTAGTCTAATTTGTAAACTATTGAATTAATAATTGCTGCATCCACATTGACTAATAATATTTATTAATACAATAAAATATTCATTCAAATGTTTTGTGCTGCACATTGTACAAGTTTATAATTAGTAATTCAAAATAATTTTATTATTTTACTCTTTTGAAAATGCTAACCAAATAAAATGAAATAAAACACTGTGTAGTTTCATTTAAGCAAATCGAAAAATTTAATTTATTTGAATACTTTCGAGTTAGTGAAACGAAAAAAATCCGCAGTTTTTGTTTGTTTGTTTGTTCACTTGTTTATTTTGCGTTTGTTTTTTCGTTTTTTATCGCATCATATATTCATATGTTTTTCGGCGTTTCACGGCGATGGGGCGTATGAAAATTGTGCATATGAAATATTAAATGCCGAGGCATGTTCCGCATCGATTTTGCAATTACTCGTTTTTCGGAAAATCGCAGCGAGCAACCGCTACAAAAAAAAAATATAGAAGCAAAACCTCAATTGATTGATCGAATTCCGAATTTAGGAAACCGGAAAATGAATGCAGAACGAACAATAACAAGAAAAAAAGTGTGACCAATGTTTGTATGCTTACGTGATTTATTTCTATTTTCCGTAAACAATAAAATTGCAATTCCTGGTTATAACCACGCTCGATTTATTATTTACCAAGTAAGTGTGAATATTATGAAAATATTTTTCACTGTTCTTCGCGAATCGATGATTTCCATTATTCTTACGGCCGTTGTTCCCACGTCGAGTCGACGGTGCGTGTTTTTTTTCCTGCTGCGGAAAACTTGCGGTTTCCACGGAAACATCCCGCTCGAGGTCATTTTCCGAATCAAAACTGACCCATTTTTGTTGTTTCATTTCTGCTGCTCCTTC